CAATAACGGACGCAGCGTAGCGGGACGCCACATTGTGTGAATCCCTGTAATTATAGTCTCTCCACTGTGTGTGTGTGTGTGTGTGTGTGTGTGTGTGTGTGTGTGTGTGTGTGTGTGTGTGCATCTGTGCGTCTCTCACACACCTGTAGCCCCTCGTGTGGAAGAGGAAGCTCGAGGCCTTCAGAGAGCTTTTGTATCAGTTCCACTCGCGAGCTGCTGCTTTTCATACACTAATCAACGCTTGTTTACGCCCGTTTTTTTTTCACTTGAGTGGGTGGTGTTTTTTTTGTGTGCGCGTCGCCCCCCCTTCCTGTCTCGGGAGGTCGTGTCAGAGATGGTGTTTTTTTTTTTTTTTTTTACGGCTCGTAATGACCGATGTTGAAAGGCATCCGCGGAGCCACGCTCGCTAATTATCAGCTGTGTGCCTTCAAAGAACGTTATCAGCACAAAGACCTGCAATTAGACACACACACACACACACACACACACACACACACACACACACACACACACACACACACACACACACACACACACACACACACACACACACACTCTTGCGTCCCCTCGCACCCTTTATCATCAACTCCTCCTCCTCCTCCCAAACTGTCTGCTCTTGATTGCTATTGTCATCTTTTCAAACTCCACTCCTGTTTCACCTCCTTCTCTCTTCTTCCCGATGACTCCCATGACCCCGTTTACCTCCATCTTTCCCGCTTGCTGCCGTCCGTTTATCCATCCCTCCAATTTCCACCCTTATCCTCTCTCTCTCAGCTCCCTTGTTTCCACTTTTCCCCTCCTCTTCCACTTCCTCCTCCGAGCTCCTCTTTCTTTTTTTCTTTTTTTTCCTCCTCGCCCCAAACAGACGTTTAAATAACGAGCCGAGTGTCAGTCAAACCGCCAGAGAGCTTCATTAGAGGAGGGGAGCACACAGGATCAAATTACACGCCCAGTTCTGTTTTGTGTGTTTGTGCATGTGTGTGTGTGTGTGTGTGTGTGTGGGTGTGTGTGTGTGTGTGTTTTGCAAGGGGATTGTAGGGGGTCGGCAGCAGCAGCAGCAGCAGCAGCAGCAGCAGCGGCGGTGATAGTGGTGATGGTGAAGGCAGAGAGGAAGTAAACATGTTGAGGAATGACGCAGCTGTGTGCTGGATTAGTGTTAGTGTGTGTGTGTGTGTGTGTGTGTGAGCTCACAGCCTTCGACAGTTTTCTCCAATCAGACAGAAAAACAAAAAGCAAACTATTTTGCCTAATTATTCACAGCCACAGTCGTCGTCGCTGTCTTTTTTTTTTTCCTCCTGTGTGTTTGCTTCTTCACTGTCGCTGTCTCGTTCTGTGCAGGAGGAGCTCGTTTTTGTTTTTGTTTATTCGTCTGAGCTGATCTACCTGCTGAGTTTGCATATGAAGCTTACATTTTAGAAATCAATATCATGCAACACTGGTATGAAAGATGTAGCACACTGTCAATAATCTTCTGCAAAAAACTGAATTATCAAGAAGTATCACAGATGTTAGAGTGTCAAAAACAGAAAAAATCTTTGAAAGATTTCACCATGGTCTTCATTTGAATGCTGCAGTCTTGTGGCGCCATTTATGAGCTCAGAGCAAAAAAATTGAGCCCACCAGGAACCTGTGAGGCGACAGCGCTAACCACTGCACCACCATGCAGCCCAAGCTCAAACCAACGTTGAAATGATGTTAGTGAACGACTGCACTCAAAGCCACACCAACTGATGCAACATGGATCCCATTAATGTTTATGAGACGTTCTATTGTTGGGGGACTTTGACTTGTAGTTCAAACAAACCGTAACATTTGGTGAGTGTTGCGTTATACATGGTGATAATACAGAACATAAAACGTCTTATGTGCATTTGACTGTTTTTTATGATGTCAGATGGGTCAAGCAGCGGAGAAAGTGGTACTACATATTCTCTTCTCTCTCTCCCGGTTGGATGAAATGTGAGGGCGCTGATGGGCGCTCGTTGGCAGGATATTCGTCCTTTTCCTGTTAACTCTGCCTCAGATGAGAAATAGGTGCTGCTATTTTAAGATCCTCCCTTATTTAAACCTTCTTCTCCCCGTCTCCACCCCCCCTCCTCTCCTCGTGCTTGATCTGTCGTTCTGTCGCCAAAGGGTTTAGTTTAATGACCCTCCTCGGCCGTGGATCTGAGCAGCGTCACATCTTTCCTTTCCAATTTCCCTTTTCTCCACCTTTAATTCTCTCTCTCTCTCTCTCTCTCTCTCTACCCACCATTTTCTCTGCTCTTCCTCTCATCCTTCCATGTTTTCACCCTTCTCCAACAGCACCACCAGCACCAGTCTGGTGTTAAAGCAAAAAGAAAAAAAGGGGGGGCCTGTTGATGTAGTCAGTGTTTGGCCTGAAGCCTGGAGATGCACTGCACGCCTCATTGAGGTTGAGGCCAAAGGGGAGGGGAAGAGGAGGAGGAGGAGAAAGGGGAAAAGGGAACGAAAGAAAAAGAATACAAGATGTGTACAGTACCTTTGTATCGGCCCAGAGAGGTCACTGGCGTCCTGCCTGCAAGGCAAGAAAAAAGAAAAGGAGGATTTGTGAATAGATGTAAACATGAATAACAATATTAATAACATAAAACACAAAACATCTTGAGGAGAATACCATTCAAATGACAAAAACAAGGACATTTTGAGATGTTAAGAAAGCAAAGCATCCCATTCCCGTTAAATAAGAACATTATTCTTTCACTCTACGCTGATGACATCGTGCTGTCATAGTGGAAGATGGAAACGGAGAAGTTGCACATCATTGTTTCAAGACTTAAAAAAGCCGCATCTTTGCCCCCGTTTTATTAACTGTATCCAATGCTCTGCAGAGGGTTTTCGCAGAATTAAGTAACATTATATAACTGTTTAACTTCAATTAATGTTTCAGAGGGTAATATAAGAATCTATTTGTGGCCAAGTATTTTGAGGCCTTGAGTTTTGCCTTATGGTCGATGCCATGTTGGATTTTCAAAGTCTCAAGAGATCGTGTTTTGACAAGAGGATGGTTGACAGGATGTTGTGGGAGCAACTTGATGAACACAAGGCAGCCATGCCCTGAAGCATACCCAGATTCATCATCTGTTGAAATCAAGACTGGTCGACAATTTACAAAATGAACATCAAGCTAGAATGAAAAAGAATATTTAAAGGTCACATATTCTTCAAAGACACTTCACCATGTTTTATGTGTGTCCCTAGTCTGTCTACAAACCCCCCAATTATAAGAAAAGTCCATCCTCTCTGTCTTCTGCCTGCTCCACTTTTCAGAAAATGTGTGCTCAAACAGGCCGTTTGGAGATGTTCCCTTCATGACATCACAAAGGGCAGTAGCCCCTCCCCCAGGTGGGTGACACTCCCACAGCTAGGTGTTTGTTCTGCCCTCTGAGTCTGCCTTCTCACCGTAAACAATAGGACATGGAGCGAGAAAGCACCGAGTACACCCAAGCCCTTCCAGAGAGGGGGCGTGGTCAGACACAGCTCATTTACATATTTAAAGATACAGACACAGAAACAGCCTGTTCTGAGCAGGACTGAAATAGAGGGGTTTATAGACATGATCAAATACAGGATCAGAGTGGATTTAGAACAAGAAACTTCACACACATGTTTTGAGGAGCTCTGAGACTTATTTAAACTGGTTGAAAAGGGAGGATGATATGTGACCTTTAAAACTTGAAATTGAGATCATAACCCCATTATGAAAATGTTAACTGAGGTCAGAGATCAATTTAGAAGTGGGGTAGTTTTGGCCTGGACTCAGATAAATATGAGCTTCTTTATGCAACCAGTGGAGTCGCCCCCTGTTGGCCATGAGTAAAAATATCCTGATACAGGTGTTAGCTAAGTGTACCTCAGTATGGACATCATAGCAGAGGCAAAGAGATGTTTTATAGGAGAACAGAAAAGGAGATTTGGACTCAAACAAGAGCGAGGCGAGACACGAGAGGGGGGGTGACGTCCCAGAGAGTTGGAGTCGCAAAAACATACCAATCCTTGCGTAATCTTGATGCAACTTTCTCTACTTTTAACAGTAAAACATTTGGGCGCCGATGACTGCAGCGTGTCTGGAAATATGATACACATATGCACAGAAGGTACTGGCAAAACAAAACACACACACACACACACTCAAAAACAGACACACAGTTTTTCTAAATAGTAAATTGGTCTCGTCTGTCCTTGGGAACGGCAGAGAAACTTGCCCGTTCCTCTGGGTTTTCCCCCAAATTCCCTGCTGTTCCCCCCTTTCTCTTCTCTTCCCTTTTTTGTTTTATCCCTTCCTCCAATCCTCTCTTCCTCTTCCACTGCATGTAAATAAATTGGTCCCCAGGCCCTTCCACTAGACACCATGTGTGTGTGTGTGTGTGTGTGAGAGCCAGTAACACACTCATTCAACTCACACAAACACAAACACAAACACAGCCCTCCTGAGCTTAGAGCAGCATCTGAATTAGCCCGGCTTTTTATGTCGCAGAGGTAAATAAAATAATAATGAATTGACAATGCTGTCATTAAGAACCAGTGTGTGTGTTTGTGTGAGAGAGAGACAGATACAGATGGTGTGTGTGTGTGTGTGTGTAATGATGAAATGTGAAGAAAAAACTCCTTGCCCCTCCTCAACACAGCGGCCAATCATTGCTATCGCCACTCTTTGCATTTCAAAGACACACTCTTGTCTGTTTCATCTCCGACCACAGAACGCTCATCCTGTTATCCTGCTACACACACACACACACACACACACACACACACACACACACAAACTCTTTTTCTCACACACACACACACACACACGCATAAGATAGCCACCTCCGCTTTAGTCCATTTTCCCAATGCCATGAATTATGAAAAAGGGTAAATGGAACATCAAACACACACATACACACTGCTCGCACTCACAGGTTTACACACACACACACACACACACACACACTCCCAAAGATCACACTCAAACCACACACTCAACATCCCTCAGATTTGAACACCTACATACGTATATACAAGCAAAGCGTTTTCACTCCATGCTTCCTATTACTTATTAACTCCCACATTACCGCTGCATGCTTTAAAAAAACTCTCTCTGAGGCTTTAATGAAACAGGAACAGTTGAATAAACTCCATTAAAGAGTAAAGTCGAGCAGAAGACACAAAGACGGGCACTCGTCTGATTTCTCGAGGACGATGAAATCCAGAGTGAGGATGTTTGATTCACTGACATGTTAGAAGTGAACATTTGTACAATTGGGACTTTTAAAAGCTGCAATTATGAGTCTAACTCTGAGCTCTCGTTTAAAAAAAAAAGTTGAATTATGAAGATATTTGATCTAATTTTTGGTCAAAATTTGTCTTTTCTTCGACCGGAGAGAAGGAAAAATTTGACCTTTCTTCTTGCTGTTATCCATGTGTGCTGGTTGGACTACAAAAACTCGATTTAGTAAGATTTCAGTCTGGTCACTGACTGATCATTCTTTCAAGAAAACAGGGTTTCATTTGCTTATTAATTGCTGCTGCCAAGGCCACATCATTTTCCAAGACTGACTGAATGTTGCCCATTCATTTTTGCAAAAACTGACTATATGAGGTAAACTGAATCCTTACATTTAGAGTGTGAACATGTGGCTTTTAAAATGGATCTGGTTTACCTCACAGCTCCTGTTGCATAAGGTTTAAAACTCGGTTGTTAGTCCTTGTTGGTAACAAGCTGACATTTTGAGATAAATGCTTTTTTTTACAGGATGATTGTTTGTGCAGAAAGCCTTTGGAAACTCTAAATTGCTGTGGGAACATTATCATTACACAAGAGACACCATTAAGGTCTGGACAGTATCTTACCCTTTTTAAACATTCTCCTCTGACCAGAATTTTTTATGAGCTGCACAACCACAGAGCCACTCCAAGGATAAACCCAGCTCTTTTTTTTGCAGAGAAATAAAAATAAAAGGCTTTTAGGTCGGATTTCTTGAGTATCAATTGCCCCTTGTTGATCTGCACAAGTTGAGCCGATGAGATTTTGGGTCAGAATTGATCAGCTGGATGGAAACAGATGGGGGGTGGGGGGGGGTAAACAACGTCCAGGTGGGAAAGCAGCCAGACTTATGCTCCGCGACAGACAGCTTTTTGGCGGCGTGCGGGAAGCCGAGCAGAGCAGAGACTCCTGTGGGCCCTGACGGAGACGTGAAACGAAGCTGAAACGTGAGGGAGTCCTTGGGTGACAGTGCCAGAGCCGCCGCAATGACGGAGCAGGTGGCAGGACCCGGAGAGGACCAGCGGCATATTTGATCCCAAACACACACACATACACACACACACACACACACACACACACACAGTCTGCATTAGCACTACATGGAGGGAGACGCTATGAAGCAGCTGTCACCGCACAACTAAACACCATCGATGACATGAGCGCTGGAGTGATTCTCCCTCATCCCTACACAGAAAAAAAATAGATATTGGAAGTGACATGGAAGCGTCCTTTAAGGGTGTGAAACACAAGATAGCGTGCTGGAGTCATGTGGGAACGGTGATGCATAATCAACGACAGAAGAAACCAGGTTAGCTGGGAGAGAAATCCAGTTAAAGAGAGACATCGAGAGCACGAGTTCACATGTAACCTGCTTACTGAAAACCTGTTTCTCTGCAGGGAAATGTGTGAATTTCATTTAGTTAGGATACAGAAATGAAACCATTAAGACTCGTAATGGGTGTTATTTTGCTTTTGGTTGTAAGTTTCTGGCATATTTTGCATTTTCAAATGGTCACTGCATACAGTTCTGGTTGATTTGTGCAGACTTTGAGAAATCTCTGTCTGAGATTTGTGCTTCTAATCCATGCCAAACTAGTTATTGTCATGCTTTTCCTCTTTGAAATACCCTGCATGAAGCAGCTCTTTATACCAAAATATTAGTCAGGAAAAAATAAGTGTTCCTTCGGGTGTTGGACCCAAGTGCAGATTAACAGGAAGTAGGCCTGGATATGTAAACAAAGAGGCAAAAAGGCAAGAACAAATGCATACTCATGAAGTAGTCTGACATTAAACCGCCAACAAAAGAAATCACAGGAGACATGAGGAAACGCTGGGGGGGGTAAAATCCACAAAAAGAGGAAGGCAGCTAGGACGACACAGAAGGGAAGAAACAAGGAGTCTAAAAACACAGAGGGGTAATCAGACACAGGTGAAGACAATCAGGGCGGGGCACACAATCAAAAAGGGCGGGAAAACCTACAAAAACAGGAAGCAAAGGTAGACAGGAAGCACCAATGGGCAAGAGCTTTTAAAACGTTTAAAATTAGAGATCAATGAGATTCTGGATGGTTGTACGAGCTCTGAGAGTCTGAGCTGCTCCTCCTCCTCCTCCTCCTCCTCCTCCTCCTCCTCTCTGCAGCCCATCTGCGTCGTCCTAACACTCTCTCTGTTTTTAACACGTCTCTTCTTCTCACCTGCCTCGCTGCCTTTCGCATATACACATCTCCGCTTCACATACCGTACCCACCACAACCCCCCGACAACC